TACATTCTGGAAATCAAGCCCTTGTCAGTCTCATCTTTTGCAAAAATTTTCTCCCATTCCATAGGTTGTCTTTTTGTTTTGCTTATGGTTTCCTTTGCTGTGCTAAAGTTTATAAGTTTAATTAGGTCCCATTTGTTTATTTTTGCTTTTATTTCTATTGCCTGGGTAGACTGATTCTCACAGGTAATGTGCTTGCATCTCACAGCTGTGTGTTGTGTATTTCACATCTTACATTTTCTAGAAAGGATCCAAACTCACCAAACGTTTGCTTCTAATGACAGGAGAGATCAAGGCCGTAATAAATGCCTTCATGCTCTCTCCAACACTAATTCAAAACATTCATTTGCCAATTAACTATGCAGTGACTGGGATATAGTTTGCATGTTTATTTGTATTGTTATTTTAACTCACATAACTTAAAAAAGCTTTTAACGAGTTCATGGCTTATCTTCCCAGCCAGATAGTGATCTTCTTGAAGACAGCGACTATACTTCCTACTCCTTTGCCTAATACTGTATGCTCAAAAAGTTGGCTTTCTTTAAGTTGAATATTCTAATCAAAGCTATAAACTCTAATAAACAGAAATACCATGTAGAGGAAATGAAAACACTACTAGAATTTTAGGCAAACTCATTTTCATATTAAAGGTATAATCATGAAAGCTTATTTGGTGACCATAGAATGGGGTAGTATTTATTCAAATACCCTTGATAAGATGCCAAAATTGTGACATAAGTGCTCCTCATTTTTCCAGGTCCCTGGATCAACGATACCGCTGATCAATCACATCGCTCTGTAAACCTCAAGGTGGCTGTAGAGTTTGTCTCCACGTAGCCCTTCAGGAGGGCATTACTAATTGATTAAGGTGTTGGCCCAGGATCGAAGCCCATTTGTCATCCTGCAAGTCTGGTTTTATGCCTTGGGTGGTTGCCCTCTTAACCCAAATTGAGAGCTTTATGGGGTGTACACGTGTTGCTAGATGGGATAAAAGGGACATATGCTCAGTTAGCCAGGTCAGTTCAACTCAGCAACTCGGGCTGACAGAGTCAAACCACCCTCATAGTTGACATTAAGCTGTACACTCCTTATTACCATTTAACCCTGAGTACTAAGATAAAGTCTCTGGCCATCTTTAGTAGGACCAAATTCCCTTTGATGTTTAAGAGTCAGATACGATGCATTCATTCATGTGAGCTTGTCTTAGAAAACTCACTTACTCATTGACATATCTGAAGTAGAAATTACCATGTGCTACATTATCCAGGGAAACTCCATTTGGACAGAATCATGGGAAGTTTTTTCAACTGATCTTTTCAGGGTGTATGAAACTTTTCCAGGGAAATGAAGTATTTCTGTAGAAGAGGAGAGGTAAGACTATTGGGGTAGAGAAGACGGTAACATTTTTTGGTAATATTTGCAAAGGAAATTCATGAGTATGACAAATGAAGTACAGTTTGTGATTGAGGAATAATGAGTTTCCCACTGTGGCTATAATGTAGGATTCATGGACAGATGTGTCAAGAAGTAAAGCTAAAGAGCTACAGGAATCAAAACAGCATGGTATTGGCACAAAAACAGACATACGGATCAATGCAACAGAATGGAGAGCCCAGAAATAAACCCACAGACCTACGGTCAATTAATCTTTGACAAAGGAGTTAAGAATTTACAATGGAGAAAAGACAGTTTGCTTAGCAAGCAGTGTTGGGAAAACTAGACAGCCACATGTAAATCAGTGAAGTTAGAACACTCCTTAACATCATACACAAAAATAAACTCAAAAGGGCTTAAAGACTTAAACATAAGACAAGACAATATAAACCTCTTAGAAGAAACCAGAGGCAAAACATTATCTGACATAAATCTTAGCAATGTTCTCCTAGGGCAATCTGCCCAGCCAATAGAAATAAAAGCAAAAATAAACAAACAGGACCTAGTTAAACTTTTAAGCTTTTGCACAGCAAAGGAAACCATAAACAAAACAAAAAGACAACCTATGGAATGGGAGAAAATATTTGAAAAAGATGAGACTGACAAGGGCTTGATTTCTAGAATATATAAAAAGCTCATATAACTTAATAGCAAAAAAACCAAACAACCTAATCCAAAAATGGGCAGAAGACCTAAACAAGCAGTTCTCCAGTGAAGACATACAAATAGCCAATAGGCACATGAAAAAATGCTCAGTCTCACAAATTATCAGAGAAATGCAAATCAAAACTACAATCAGGTATTACCTCATACCAGTCAGAATGGCCATCATTCAAAAGTCCACAGATGATAAATGCTGGAGAGGGTGTGGAGAAAAGGGAACCCTCCTACACTGCTGTTCGGAATATGGTTTGTGCAGCCATTATGGAAAAAAGTATGGAGATTCCTCAAAAGACTAAAAATAGACTTACCATATGATCCAGTAATCCCACTCCTGGGCACGTATCTGGAGAGAACTCCAATCTGAAAAGATACATGCACTCTAATTTCATAGTATCACTATTTACAATAGCCAAGGCATGGAAACAACTTAAATGTCCATCGACAGATGACTGGATAAAGAAGCTGTGGTATATTTATAGAATGGAATACTATACAGCCATAAAATAATAAAATACTGCCATTTGCAGCAACATGGATGTTCCTGGAGAATGTCATTCTAAGTGAAGTAAGGCAGAAAGAGAAAGAAAAATACCATATGATATCACTTATATGATGAATCTAAAAAAAAAGACAAAGAAACTTATTTGCAAAACAGAAACATATTCACAGACATACAGAACAAACTTGTGGTTACCAGGGTGGAAGAGGGTGGGAGGAGATAAACTTGGAGTTAAGAGATTTGCAGATACTAACTGATATCTATAGAACAGATAAACAAGTTCATGCTGTATAGCGCAGGGAGCTATATTTGATATCTTGTAATAACTTATGGTGAAAGTGAAAATGAATACATGTATGTCTATGTATGATTGAAACATTATGCTGTACACCAGAAATTGACACATTGTAACTGACTATACTTAAAAAAAAGAAGTAAAGCTGAAAAAAAATAGAGTGAGATCCTTTGTTGAAGATTCTTGAATATTATATTATGAAGTTTGGATTTATCCTATGAACAATAGGAGCCAATTACATTATTAAGTAGGGGAGGGGATAGATTGGAAATTAGTAGTTGGGCTTGGCTGCAAAGAGATGGGCAGGGAGAAGCAATGATAAGGATCTGAGCTAGGACAGGGATCATGGTGTAGGGAAGAGGGAACAGGGGAACAGAATAAAGAAAGACTTTAAGTGCATGAGATGCCTAAAGGGCAGGGTGGGAATCAATGAAATCATTGAGATTTCTGGGCTTGATAATGCTTTTAATTGAGATAGAGAACGCAAGAGGAGGACTGTGA